GGTTGTCTGGAAAAGTGTTCATCCTGTGGCAATGGCAATGAATGAAATATTATGATAAAATCATATTTTACTCATGGAAAATGTAATAGATGATATAAAGTGATTTATAGAAATTGTAGAAAATAATTTTGAAAGTAGATTTTCAAGTTTAGAGTAGATTCCCTTGCTTTTCAGGGGGAAACTAGAGTGATTCAATGAGTGAAAAAAAAGTCCAGTTCTTCGTGACTGATCATGCACCTAGTGGGCACTTCTCACACGGCAGGTCTTAAACAAGAGGGGTCTAGTCGCACCTGACTGATTTATAGTATCCCGTGAAAACCAATGACCTTATTGATCTATTTTTGAAATCTTCATTTAGCTCTTTTTGTTTTTTAAGTTAAGCTAATTTTTCAAAAGGTAGAGAGCTTTTCTTTTGCTGAAATTGTAATGCCTTCTCAGCCAACAAAGGAACCCATCCAGTCTATTAACTAAACAAAAAACGACAGGAAACTCCATACATATTTAAATCTACTGCTATGAATTAAACATTGGGATGAGGAGATATCTCCTTTCATTAAAGACAATATTAAAATAAATAAATAGATAAATAAAACTCATGATATATTGCTAGGTAAATCAAATGTTTGAACTAATAATATTTCAGATTTCTTTAAACATTTACTTTGAGTAATACTTAAAATAATTGTATTACATGTTTTGTTTGCTTTATTAGACCAAAACAAACTTATTTTAATGAAATATTTAAAATAACCTTTTTGAAAGAAATAAATGGTTGATAAATACTGTTTAACCCTTAAGAAAACAGAGCAGTGATCAGAATCATGGGACCAGGCATGAGAATAATAAATCAGTTTTATGTAATTTTAAATGTCAAGCTTGAAGACATCACAGGTAGTGAGGGGAACATCAAGCAGTGCCCCCCATCCCCTCCAGTGGGTTTGATTCTTTGCATATACCCCATGAGGTGTGTGTCTTCCTTGTTGACCAGACCTTGACAGAGCACTTGTGGTATGCCAGGTCAGTGGTACAATAGGGATTCAGAGGGACTGAGATGTGGCTTCTTTTCTTGAGGGACTCACAGTCCTACATAGACTCCTGTCAATCCAGATTCTTTCCTGCCTGTTGTTATGGAGGGAAAATACATTCCAACAGAATTCAAGAAAGCTGAATTTGTATTCTTTTTATACCACTGGTTACATGGCCATGTTTAAGCTTCATAACTTTATTGATCCTCTGTTCCCCAATCTAGAATATGACATAATTATTCTTACCCTTTTTGGATTTTGGAGACTATAATGAGAAATCAGTGCTGTACACAATCAGAGAAACTTCTCTAGTAACAAACTTTAGAAATGATCCCAGCTCTGGTGGCGTAGCACCTAAGGCATATGACTGCTAACCAGAAGGCTGGCAATTCAAACCTACCAGCCACTCCCTTGGAAGGAACACTGGGCAATCTACTTCCATAGAGATACCACCTCAGAAACCCAAGGAGAGGTTGCTTGAGTCGGATTTGACTTGATGGTAGTGAATTTAATGAGAAATCATTGATCAAATATAAGTATTATCCTTACTGCTTTTTTCTTTTCTTGACATAATATTTAGAAGAAAAGGAAAACCATGAATAAGGGGCAAGATGACTTTTCATCGTGCGAGGAACAAAATGATTATCTCACTGAAATCTTGAAATTATTAAAAAAAAAAATTCTGTGAAAAAAATATAACAATAACACTTAACACTTTGTGAGTGCTTACTACATGCCATTTGATCTTCACCACAACCTTATAGATAGGTTATGTTCCTATTCCAGTTTTACAGATGAAAAGGCTGAAGCCCAGAAGGTGATAGAATTTGCTACAAGTCACAGAGCCAGTAAGTCAGGTAGACAGGACTTGCTACCAGTAGTCCCGCTCCACATTCTCAGCCCTCTGCATAGTGCCATGGAGGCCATTAACACCTATTTTGGAAATTCACTTAGGCTCTGTCTTCAATGATCTCTATAGCTGTTTTGTTTAATGTTCTTTTAGGGGAAAAATGTATTACAAATGAGTTAAGACAGACTCTGTTCTTCTATAGTGAACTTGAAGATTCTCTATGGAGTTTGAGGAACTGAGTTTGTTTGAAAGTTATAGATTTTAGGGATTGCTCTAGGACAGTGATGCTCAAACATTTGGTCTCAGGAACTCCTCATGCTCTCAAAAATATTTTATATTAGTTATACCTATCAATAGAAGCTCTGGTGGTGTAGTGGGTAAGGCATTGGCTGCTAACCAAAAGGTCAGTGGTTCGAACACACCAGTGGCTCCATGGAAGAAAAGATGAAGGCAGTCTGCTTCTGTAAAGATTTATAGCCTTAGAAACCTAACGGGGTTGCTATGAGTTTTAAACAACTTGATGGTGGTGATTTTGGTTTTTTATACCTATTAGTATGTGCTGTATTTGAAATTCAAATTGAGAATCTTAAAAATTAATTATTTTTAATTAATTTAAATAATTTAATTATTAATTCATGTAAAATAACAATAGTGTGGTTAAATAAATAACATTTTAATGGAAACATAACTCTTTTCTAAAACAAAGCACTTGCTGAGAAGGGAGCTATGGTTTTACATTTTCACAGTTGCCCAACATCTCGTTTTAATAGTCAGCTCAATACTCTTCAGTGCTCCTGCATTCATGGACCTTTGGAAGACTCCATTGTACACACAGGAGAGAATGAAAGTTAGATTGACAAATAATGTCATAGTATTAATTATTAAACTAGTTTTGACCTATGGGACTCCTTGGAAGGGTCTTGGGCATCCCCCTGGCCCCCAGAGTTTCCCTGTACCCCAATTTGAGTTCTGCTGCTCTAGGACATGTCTCCTGCACTAGTAGTTAGTGCATAAAGTATTAATGAGAGGGTCCAAAATCAATGCAGCAAAGAGAATAAAGGAATCATGTGAATATCTTTGGTCATTAGATGAAATGAAGAAGCCAAAGGATACAATCTTGATAACGTGATTTTTTTCTGATTTTCAGAGAATGATCCTTGTTTCATAACAAACTCAGTATGACTGTAATTTGTATTAAATGTTAGAAAAATTCATGCTTTCAGGTCATAGCCCCTTGTGGTCTGTTTTCTTATATTTGATGTAAAGAGAGGCTGATTAGGGAGTAGATGATATTTGAGAAAGGCGGGCAGCAGCAACTATAGGTAATGAGGGGAACACACAACAACTTTTTTTTTTTTTTTTTAAAGATAATTTGCCCTCTCTGAGTTAGGGAATAAGACCAGTAAGTTAGAAAATAAAGTTAACATGGAAAGTTCAGAATTGACTACTGTGTGTGTGAACTCTGTCCTCTAACTTTTTCTCAGTGGTACAGATTTGGTATAGAAGGTGTAAGTTTACTTTTTTAAACTTTTTTTCTCCTATCTCTATGTTTATTTTTTATGTGGCTCTGCTTTTGGCTGAGATGGGAGAAAGGAGAAGAAAGGAAACAGAGAACTGAGCTATTAAGAATAAAACAGTACTTTTTGTTTTAATTAAACCCTTTACTTCCTTTTACCATGTCATTGACATAGGGCCCCACTGGAAAGTGGAGGTGGGGAGAGAGTAAAAATCAGAACTTGCCCAAGTTTGGCTTTTCTGGCCCTCTTTCTGGAGTCCTTTCTCACCTGTGGAAATACTGAGACCTCTCCAAAGAGGAAAGGGTCTCTTACACACATGACACAAAGGCATGAGTCTGTGGGACAGCAGGGAAGATTCTGGGCAGTGGGGAAAATTCTGGATTCTCTCCTGGTGCTACTGCTTGTTTGCCTGTGATCCTAGAAAACTGCTCCCATCTCAGTTTATCCATTTAGTGGTGAAAAGTAATGACCATAGCAGCCACATAAAAGTGCTTGCAAGTGCTGGGCACTTAAGCTTCACAACAGCTCTCTGAATTAGGTGACATCATCATCATCATCATCCTTTTACAGAAAAAAAAGTTAAACAGTTGCTTGATGTCATACAGCTAGTAAGCAGCTCAAGGACTGGCAGGGGTTCTTTCTGGCTCTGAAGTCCGTATTATTACTCCCCTCCCCTTCCTATACAGTCTTCTATACCTCCCTCATTTGGGTTTTCAAGACAATGAAAAGGTACATAATGTATGTAGCCAGGATCCCTGGTGATGCAGTGGTTAAGTGCTCACTGCTAATCAAAAGGTTGGAGGCTCGAATACATCTTCTGTAAAGATTACAACGTTGGAAACTCTATGGGGCTGTTCTAGTCTGTCCTATAGGGTTGCTTATGAGTCAGAATTGACTAAATGGCAGTGGACTTGGTTCTTTCAAATGTATAAAAAGGGTATTTGGCCCCTTCTAAGTAGTCATTCAGGAGCTCTGGGAGCATAGTGCCTAAGGCACTTGACTGCTAACTAAAAGGCTGGCGGTTCAAACCCCACCAGCCACTCCCCGGAAGGAAGGTTGGGCAATCCTACTTCCGTAGTGACACTGCCTTGGAAAGCCAAGGAGGGGTCACTATGAGTCGGGGCCGACTCGACGGCACATAACAACAAACAACAACAAGAAGTAGTCATTCATAGCTACTATTCTTTTTCTTCTCCTTCTTTTACTTCCTCTCCACCTCATTTCTCCTCCCCTTCTTCCTCATGATTTGTGCTTGATTTCTAATCTTCCTTGGTTCTTAAAGGTCAGTTAACTAAGGGTCTTTTTTTCTCTTTTGAGTTTGTTGTTTCTTTTGTCCTCATAGTCACTGGTTTTAGTTTTCCTAGTAGAAGGTCTAAGTTCCATAGCGTATCTGACTTAAGATGTCGACTCTTGAACTCCTTACAAGTTTGGCAGTCCACATTGTGACAAAATAGCTCTTAATTCCCCCCAACAGAAATTCTGCCATGGCTTTCTTTGCGCTTACTCTGAGTATAACTTCTTTCTGTAGTTACATTTTATCTTCTTTCATTAGAAAAGGAGAGGAGTAGATACTGCACACCTTTACTATATTAATGATGTTTATTTTAGAATTTCAGATTGCCAAAAGACAAAACTGGTACCACAAGGATTGGTGACCTGGCACCTCAGGACATGAAGAAAGTGTGCCGTTTAGCTCTTATTGAGCTGACTGCCCTCTATGATGTACTGGGTGTTGAAATGAAACAAGAAAAAGCTGTGAAAATGAAAACAAAAGGTAATCTTGAAATAAAAAACAGGTATTTGTGGGGCTGGCGTGGGATCGGGCAGTGTTTCGTTCTGCTGTGCATGGGGTCTCTATGAGTCGGAAACGACTCGGCGGCACTTAACAACAACAACAACAATATTTCTAAAGTAGAAAGAGTGAGCCTGGCTTTTATCAGTATTCTGAAAACATCTACAAAATAAACTAGCCCTTGAATACATCCCAATCTCAGATTCTAAGACATTGTTTCAAAAATTAGGGAACTGAATAAAAATAAGCTGTCCCTTCGACTATAGAAAAGAAAGGAATTATAAAATAATTTAATTCCTGGGGAAGAAAATTCTAAGCCCAGGAATCTTAGCTCATGAGCATTCTCCTTTTGCAAAGCATGCCTTTGGTGCATCTGTTTATTTATGTCCAAAATCAGATGTTGAAAAATGACTTTCAGATGTTGATCTTGAATGATTACTTTTGCTTGTTCATCTAAAGGGAAATTGTGTAAGTTTGTAATCTTTCCCCTTGTTCATTTATGTTCAACTTTTAACGCAAAAACATTCTTCACTCTATTACGAATGTGCCATTGTGGTGCATAATAGCACTGAGATGTTCTCATCATGCATTTGTGTAGTTTTTCTGTTACAAGCAGCTTGTTTTACCACTCCATAAACTGAATTCATCTCTTACAATACGATAAAAAGTCACCACCACTGCAGTTTTTTATTTTCCTAGACTTTATTATCCCTGAAATCCAGATAATTCTCAATTGCCAAAGCTGTACTGTTTAGAAATCTCTTGTCTTATTTAACCTTAAAGGTATTCTCCTAAAAAGAAACCAGGCAAGCATTACTGAGTTGCTATGGTAACTGTAGCAAAGACAAGCATTCACCTGATGTATGTTTTGGAGGTAATTTCTCTATAGGGCTGAGGTGTGTGCCTTCCCCTCAGGTCTTCTGTTCCATGCTGGGCCTCAGAGGGTCTCTTTCTGCTCTCAGTTCTTTGAGCATTTTAGCCTGAGACTTGGGATGGTGAATTTACGAGTCAAACAGTGCTTATAGTTTTCCATAGTCCATTATTTATAATGAAGATTTCAAATGCCTTTTAGGAGCTCATGGCAAAGCCTTCTCCAAATACTAAATAGAAATATACTTTAAATAGCTGTGACTCATTGCTTGAAACTTTTAAGGTGGCTGAGAAACGTTTTTTAATGTTATGTTTTAGTATTGCATCCTAGCAGAGAGAAAAATATTAAGTCATTTTTAAGTTTTTTACTGTTAATAGACTTTTTCCCATCATTTCTGTATCTTATCTTGTATATCTTATCCAATATATTTACCTTATAAACTAGACCCTTGACTTTCTTGAGGATTATAACTTTTCTTATTTACTGAATTACTGGGGTTCTTTTGAATGACATCTCAATTGTCATGATTTCTAATATCTGCCCTCCTACCACAGGTAATTTCCTTTCTTAGGATTGCAAATGATTTATGTTTACCCTGATGAAGTTTGTCATAAAGGAAACAATCATTATCGCTTCTGTGTTAACTGTATGCTCAGTCATGGGAGTGGAGTAGAGGTGCTGGGTAGAAACTATGCTTGCACCAGAATCAAGGATTATGATTGTAATGTAGAAAAAACTCATAACCTATTACCTTTCATTGCTTCTAGAGTTAATCACAAATATGTTAAACTACAAATTTAAATTCAAGAATGCCAAATGTCTTATTCTTTCTAAAAGGAACATTTGTGGAACAAGATCATAATGCAAGCTGATTTCTCAAAAAAACCCAGATATTTATATTTTTTGCTGCACTGTAGAATTTTAAATGTTAATTCAGTGGGGGAGAGATGAGTGATGGCTGCTTTAAGCCAGAACTTTTTGATTACATTTAGTAAATTATTTACATATTTTGTGTACACACACCCACAGCCTTCCATTTCTCTGATGGAGCAGTTTGTACTTTTTAAATTATTTCAGTGATTATTTGCAATCAGTTGTTTGATTGTCTTTTCCTCCTGGACTGTTCTATAAGGCAGGGCCAGAGTCAGTCTAATAGGCTTTGTATGCCTAATAGCTAAAGCAGTGTTACCACTTAGGGGATGTTCGATAAATAAGTTGTGTGATTGAATGACAATGTCAGAAATCTTGTGTGTGCCTTTGATTTTTTTATTTATATTTTATAGATTGAGAGAAGTGAAGAAATTTATTTTCCTTTTCGCAGATTTTGGCCTTTTTGGTGTTCCATTGACAGTATTGCTAGAACAAGATCAGAGGAAAGTCCCAGGAACTCGAATACCCTTGATCTTTCAAAAAGTAAGTAGGCTCAGTAGCCAGCTTAGAACAAACATACTTTAGCTAATAGTGTTCTATTTGTTGTTGTTGCTGTTGTTGTTTTTGGCATTCATACTATTATAATACAGTTTTTTGGTTGATATACACTTTTATTTTGCACTTTGATTTTCTATTCAAGAAACAAATTTGTTTGAAGGGCTCATAATTTTTATTTTGTGGTGACGCTTTCAGTGTTATTACTCTGACTGTGATTACCTGGCATAATTTTCCTGTCCTGTATTAGCTGGCTTTGTATAATTGAGACTTCAATTCTATAATACATGGTAGAGGGAACTGCTTATAAATTTCTAGGGGATTGAGTCCTCATGAATATTTTATGCCTGTATGTATTTCCCAAGCTTTCCTATTTACAGTGAGGATGTCCAATTTAATTTACCAGTGCCTACTTCCAAAGTAGGTAAAGAAACCATAAAGTAGAATTAGAAAATGATTGCTAAACTATCGAGTCACTCGTGTAGTCAACACTCAATTATTCATAAGGGGATTATCCATGGCAATATAAACATTTCAGTCCAACCTCTGAGCCATCATTATTTGAAACACAGATTATATTTGATAATAGCCAGTCGATGCACAGTGAGGAAGGCAGGTCTCCTTCCTTCTTAGGGCTTCTAGAATCAAATCAGTCATGGACTATAGATTCTTTTCAGTAACCCAGACATATCACCAAAAACCCCCACTGCTATCAAGTCGATTCTTACTCATAGTGACCCCACTGGGTTTCTGAGGCAGTAAATATTTACAGAAGTAGATTGCCAGTATTGATTCCATGGAGTGGCTGGTGGGTTTGAACCACCAACCTTCTGGTTAGCAGTCTGATGCCTTAGGCACTGTACTGCCAGAGTTCCTTAGACACATCACAGCTTCTGAAATTTCTGGGGATAGCAAGAGTGAGCATGGGAACTTTGGAGGATGATTAGACACATTACAGCTTCTGAAATTTCTGGGGATAGCAAGAGTGAGCATGGGAACTTTAGAGGTTGATTAGCTTAGCAAACTCATCCAGTACTAAAGCTCTTGGTGCATATCTGTCGCCTATTCCAAAATTGCCTATCTTATTACCAACCTCTGGTTTATTCCTCTCGTCTACCATTGTACACTCAATCCTTTATCCTAGAGTTTCTCCTGATGAGCTCTGTTCTACATAGCTTACCTTACTCATCAGCCTCTGTCAGCCACTAACATAGAAACCTTATATGTGGGCAGAGTTGTCAGTAATAGCTATAACTAACAGAGAGATGCTAACAAATATGGGCTGATATTCAAGTTCTTTTAATGTAGATAGAAGTTGTGATTTCTTACACAGCAGTGATCTTTCCCAGTAAAGGACAAGCTTAGGTCCCCATGAAGGTTTATTGATGTTAGTGGTACCTCCTGACCAGTCTGAGGAGTCCATCAAGTTCCAGAAACCTCTGTTTGTCATTTTGCCCTAGAACTGTTGGCTAATGTGTTTATTTCACTAGTTATTTTAAATTGTTGGACTTTCCAATATTCTGGAGACTCTGGCTACTCACTAGACAGAAGTAATGCATAACAGCCCTAGTTGATTCTAGTGCTCACTGCCAGGGTTAATTAAAGGTCAATTCTCAGAGTTAATTTTCCAGAAGTACTAACCCTCTCACTCCCAGTCAGCCCTGGTTTTGCTGTTGTTAGGTGCCATCGGGTTGGCTCTGACTCATGGAGACCTGATGTATAATAGAATGAAACATCCTCTGCCATCTTTGCTGTTGTTAGGTGCCATCGGTTGGCTCTGACTCATGCAGACATGATGTATAACAGAGTGAAACATCCTCTGCCATCTTCTTGGTCATTGGCTAAATAAAGGTCATCTTCCTAAAGTTTGTTTCATTGCTGTTGTAAACAAACTCATAGACACTCAACAAACATTAAGCGAATGGAAATACTTCTGTTGTATCTTTGGCTTCTCCTTGTAAAATTCAAGTTTGTTTAATCAACGGCCTTGTAAAATCACCCCTGTCTAATTTCCTTGATGCTGTGCAGTGGATGGCATTTCTGTCATTTGAACCACTGCAGTCCATCATATTTGAGTTACCGTTGATCACCTCTCATTTTTGTGTACCATACCCCATCCACCCCTAAGTGTGTGTCTCGGCATCATCTTTCATTATCCCTATCCCCTCGATGACCATGGACCTATTGAAGAGACCGGAATACTTCTTGTCAAGGATTCTTGGCTTTGAGTATTGGGTAATTTCTTATTGTTTCTGAATTATAGCTTCCTTGCCTTTAAAATAAAGATAGAAATACTTAATTTTGGGGTACTTTTTTTTTAGTTTTTTTCTATTGTAAATTGGGGTGTTTCTAACTTCCTTACTGCTGGTTTTAGTTTTCAGCCTTTTTGTACCTACTGAGTAAGTGGTCTTCAAATTGTTATAAGACATGGACTTTCGTGGTGACGTAGTACCTAAGGTATTTGACTGCTAACCAGAAGGCTAGAGGTTCAAAGTCACCAGCCATTCCTCAGAAGGAAGATTGGGCAATCTACTTCCCTAGAGATACCACCTCTGAAACCCAAGGAGGGGTTGCTATGTGTTGGATTTGATTTGATGGCAGTAAGTTTGGGTTTGGTTTTATACCCAATTATATATTTTAAATTTGACACTTGAAATTATAGTAACTTTAAATATACACAAAAGATATAATTTCTGGTTGTTGTTGTTGTTGTTGTTAAGTGCCGCCAAGTCATTTCCGACTCATAGCGACCCCATGCACAGCAGAACGAAACACTGCCCGATCCCGCGCCAGCCCCACAATCCCTGCTATACTTGAGCCCATCATTGCAGCCACCATATCAATCCATCTCCTTGAAGGCCTCCCCCTCTTTCATCGCCCCTCCACCCTACGAAGCATTACATCCTTCTCCAGGGAATGGTCCCTTCTTACAACATGACCAAAATAGGTGAGACGAAGTCTGGCCATTCTTGCTTCCAAGGAGCATTCTGGCTGCACTTCCTCCAGGACAGATCTGTTAGTTCTTTTAGCAGTCCATGGTACTTTCAGCATTCTTCGCCAGCACCACAACTCAAAAGCATCAACTCTTCTTTGGTCTTCCTTATTCATTGTCCAGCTCTCACATGCATACCAGGTGATTGGAAATATCATGGCTTGTGTCAGGCACACCTTAGTCCTCAAGGAGATATCCTTGCTCCTCAGCACTTGAAACAGTTCCTTCGCAGTTGACTTTCCCAATGCTACACGTCGTCTAATGCCCTGACTGCTGCTTCCGTTGGCATCGATTGTAGAACCAAGCAACGTGAATTCCTTGACAACCTCAATCTTCTCTCCATTTATTGTGATGCTGCTGCTCATTGGTCCAGTTGTGAGGATTTTTGTTTTCTTTATATTGAGACGTAATCCATACTGCAGACTGTATTCTTCAACCTTCATCAGTAGGTGCCTTAAGTCGTCCTCACTTTCAGCAAGCAAAGTTGTATCATCTGCATATCTCAGGTTGTTAATGATTCTTCCTCCAATCCTGATACCACGTTTTTCTTCATACAGTCCAGCTTCTCGGATTATTTGCTCAGCATATAGATTGTATAAGTGTGGAGAAAGGATACAACCCTGCTGCACTACCTTCTTGATTTTAAACCATGTAGTGTCCCCTTGTTCTGTTTGAACGACAGCCTCCTGGTCAAGGTACAGATTCCTCATGAGTACAATCAAGTGCTCGGGAATTCCCATTCTTCTCAATGTTATCCATAATTTGTCATGATCCACACAATCAAATGCCTTTGCATGGTCAATAGAGGAACAGAGGAACAGTCAGCCAGGTGGGGGTGATACGAGAGGTCTCCAACAGCAGGACAAACTTGTCTGTCGGTTTGTCCTACTGTGGTGACATGTAGATGTGAGTTTTGAGGCTGAGCCTCTGGTGTTTAAAACCCAGGGAGATGCACCTGGTGCACAGGTAACAGCCCAGCTTATAGACTGAGACAGACTAGGAAGAAGGAAGAGGCCGTCCACTTCTGAAAGAATTGGCCAGGGGAAACCTTATGAATAGCAATAATTTCTGGTATAATATAAATATTGACATTTTAGGATGGAACTTGTATTATTCTTTTAAATGTATCCAAAAAAATATAAATGCCACAGCAATTTGATACTCACTATCATTTGTTAAAAATTTCACAGTGGAACTGCCTCATAGGGTTTCCAAAGCTGTAATCTTTACAGAAGCAGACTGACACATCTTTCACCCATAGAGCAGCTAGTGGCTTTGAACTGCCAATCTTTTGTTTGCAGCCAAGTGCTTTAACCACTGTGCCACCAGGACTCCTATATACATGCAAGCTCTCCTTGATCAATGGGAAATTTTACATAGTTCTTTTTCCCCCTTCCTTGAACTTATGTTTTCACTCCATTTCCTCCGTAAAATTCTACCCTAATATACTACATACTCAAGCTTTAAAGTTTTTAATGTTAATTTATCATGCTTTTACCATAAAATTTTAAATACAATTTTAATTTTTAAAACATTTCTTGCATAAGTATTTCTAAGAGTTAATAACATTTCTTTTGCATATAGTTATCTTTGTAGTTAGTAGTATAACTCACTGCTGTTGATTCAGTTCCAACTTGTAGCGACCCCTCCTTTGGTTTCTGAGGTGGTATCTCTATGGAAGTAGATTGCCCAGTCTCCCTTATGAGGAGTGGCTGGTGGGTGTGAACCTCCAGCCTTCTGGTTAGCAGTCAAATGCCTTAGGCACTACACCACCAGAGCTCCTAATTGTTAGTATACATGGGTGAACATGTACAAACTTTGATAAATAAAAAGGAAGAGGTAAAATTATATTTGAAATACATATATTTCTTAATGAAATATATCTATGAATGAATATTGTTATTCCTAGATTGACATATATGTTTCAACAATCTCTAATTCTACTTTTAATTTTTATTAGTATAAAAAACCAAAACTTTGTTTCCATAAGAAATAAAGGAGAATAAAAATAGTTTGCTTTTAGATAATACTTGCATATATATTTGTATCCACTCTGAATTATAAGCAGAAAAATCACAATGATCTAGCATGAAACATATACATACATGCATACATACATACATATATACATCTATATGTATACACACATATATATACATGTATATGTGTGTGTGTGTGTGTGTGTATATATTTGTTGCTGTTATGTGCCATCAAGTCGGACCTGACTCATAGCAACCCCTCCTTGGGTTTCCGAGGCAGTATCCTTACAGAAGTAGATTGCCCAACCTTCCTTCTGAGGAGTGTGTGTATATATACATATATATATATATGTATGTATGTATGTATACACACATATATGTGTGTGTATACACACACACACATATATATATATTATTATTTTTTTAATCTATCATCTGACAATTCAATTAAGTCCTTCAGGTTTGTTCAATGTAAAGAACTGGAAACCACTGACTTACAAAAAGATTCATTACAATTAAGATGAGTTCACTTCCTCAATTTTTGAGAAATGTACCAGTAAATGCCATTAACAAACCTTATTCAATGTTTATTAATCGTGTGTGTTATTTTTATTTTTTGCTCAAAGGTATAGTGTTTAAACTATTTTAAAAATAAGAAAGTTTTGAAAAAATAGAAATATTGTTAACTTTAAATTATGGAAATAGTCTTATAGCCTAAATAAGCAAATCACACTGTCAAATTAATCACCCAAATGAGACGTACTTTGCATCCAGAAGGTCTTACTTAATTTTTCAATTTATGTAAGTATATGTATTTTAAGAAATACTGTGAAAATTAATGATAAATTAGACTATACCTTGTGAGATCAATTAACTAAAAGCAGCATGATGAAAATATGTACATCAATATAGTTATTTTCCATTTCTAAGACTTAACAATAAGAAAAACTATGATATTTATATTTATTTATTATTATATTGCATTATTTATATTTTAATAATAGGATATCATGTGGTAGCTGAAAATATTATTTTCTAAGTGAGAAATATGAGAAAACACATGGAATTCCTTTAGTCTATATATACGTATCTTAGGAATCTCTAGTCTTCAGCTTTAGAGAGTAATAAAAGAGACTCAAATATAAAATCCTGAAATTAACCCCATTCAGTTATTTAGAATCACAGTAAATTTTTCCTGTGTATTTAATGAGAATGAAAGGCATATACTGTTGAAACTAATTTTTTCTAGCAGCTAGCATATAATTTTATTTTTTGTTAATAGGCAATAGAAACATTTTAAATATTTTATAAGATGAAATAGCATGAAAATTGCCTGGGCATTGAATACATTTTTGCATGGTAAGATTGAATTAATTTGATTTTAAATTCTCTATTGAGTAATGCCTATCTGATCTAAAATAATTCATGTAAAACTTTTCACGGGGTGTTTTATCCATTATAACTTGAAAAATGTGGTCCTGAAAAATATTCCAGTTGAATTTTAGAAAATTCATATACTGCTTTGTCTGGTCAAAGATATTTTTCTTTATAGCTAATAATAAATCCTTAGGGTAATTTTGAGACTACTCTTCAGTTTTACCAGAGTCCCTTAAGATCAGTGCATTTTTTGGAAGTAATCCAGGGATAGAAGATGTGAGGTCATTAAAGAAAATTTACCATCTTTTCTAATGTCTACACAGTACAATATATCTGATGTCAGTACATCCAGACACAGGTCAAAAGGCCTCTTATAAGGCCATGCATTGCTCCTAACAGATAAGCAAGGGAAGAAGAGTAAGCTCTATGTTTATAAAGCCCTGGCTAATCATTAAAGGAGGCGTCTCTGACAGAATAAATTATAATTTTACATTCTTTTGGTATTCTGGAAGCTTTTATGCTTTAGGACGTACAGAGAGTATTATACTAAGTAAGATTCAGGCTGAGTGAATGGTAGGTCTGTCTTTATAAAGTAAGAGAAGACCATTTTGAAAGGTAAATGCTTGGACAGGAAGGGAAATCTATATGATACTAGTAAATGTTTCATATTTAAATTGAAGACATGGAAGTCAAAGTAGCAGAGCACCCCTATAAAATCTTTGTGTACTGCCAAGGAATTCATATTCCATTTAGAAGACCATTCTGCCAAGAAAGTAACCACTCTTTTATCTTCTTCCCAGATTCTAAGAGTTTGTCATTAACTTGTCTCCATTTGCTTGTGGGTTTCTGCTTTTTTAAAAAGTCTCTAATTGTGATTTTAGTAGGGTTCTGGACACAGTGAGGTCTGTATGTGTTCATTGGACATTGGACATGATTGAGAAGTTCTAGGCATCAATTGTTTTTCATTTCTTTACCACCTAAAGCTTAAAAGACAAACAGGAATATTTGAAAACAAGTTTTTACTTTATATCATAAATAATTTTTTTGAACAAACTAAAAATGATACATAAATGTGCAAGTACTAGACTTTCATACGATTTATTTGATTGCAAAATGTATGTTTCTGAAAAAGCAGAAACATGGGTGTTTTTAGTTGCATCTTCTTTCTTTCTTTGTTTGGAGAACTATAGCTGTTGTGTAAAATTACACATTTCTGTTATAAAGGAGAATACGATCCAACATTTTTAAAAATTATAACTAAAGTTTTGGGACTTGCTGGTTTAAAGGATAGTAATACTGCAATAGCATTCAAAACATAGAATCCAGTTTGTGTGCCATTGTAATTAGTTTCCATTTATTTATATGAAACAGATGTTAAATTTGGAATGGTACCTGTTACGAATACCAAAATCAGAATGTTCTTCTGTTTATACACAGCTGATTTCTCGAATTGAAGAGGGAGGTTTGGAAACTGAAGGCCTCTTACGAATACCTGGAGCTGCCAGTAGAATCAAGGTAATCTCTTAGTCCTACTAATGTAACATTTTACTGTTGAGTTATACTTTTCCATTTTAAAAGCTAATGTGTCCTCCCCATCCTCTCTCCATTGCAAGTATAAAGTGGATAAAATAAAAACAATAAAACCATGTAAATTCGTTACTATTCACTTTTTCTCCACTCCCTTCTGTTTTTAATTTTTTTTAAAATCACTATATGACATATACCACTACTACAATAAATAAATATGCAAATGATTTGACTCTGTCTAGTTTGCAATAATAAAATAGAAACAAAAGTAAACGAGCAATAAGAGTGATTTCTTTCTTCTGATGAACAAAGAACACGAGTCAAAATATTAATAGAGGGGTGGTGATGGAGCTACTGGATGGCACAGTGCTTAAGAACACAGCTAGTAACTGAAAGGTTGGCAGCCTGAATCCACCCTGAGGCCCCTTGGAAGACTACAGCCATTAAAAACCCCATGGAGCACAGTTTTACTCAGAAGCACGTGGGGTTTTGCTTTGGTTATGGATTTAGTCAGGATGAGTTATGTCAGTTGAATTAAAAGGGACAAAAAGGGAGGATCATAGACTCTCCCAGGTGAGTGGAGTAGGGCTTTTGATAATAATCCCTAAGAAGTCATCAAAAAGACTTTTTTGAGCTGTCAAAATGAGGCTCCTGAGTGGAGCGCCTTCTCCTGTCTGTTCACCATTCCTTATCTCATTATATCCAGGGTAGCATGAGTCTGGCTTATGAAAGAGGTGTGGTAACCTCTTTCCTAGAATTCCCAGTTGTATACCCTTATCTCCCTCATTTTTTTTTCTCTCTAGATAGCATTTTCTTTCCCATTTTCCTCTAATACTGTGTGTCTTTGTGGTTTCATCTCGTTTGCCCAACTCATGCTGTGGGGAATTAAGTTTCCAATGAATGTAGGATAAAGGTGGAGTTACCCTACAGGTTGTCCATAATACATAATGATGTGCTGTCCAGAGACTTGCATTTTTAAGAGCGCTCAGACTTGGAATTGTGGCTCTGTCTGGAAAATGTATGCAAGCAATGTTCTTGGTTTTTGGTCACTACCTGTCTCTCTTACCCTAGCTACCTTCCAAGCTCAGCTTTATGTCTAAACTGAGATAGCACAAATAGCTGCCATATCCACTATATTGTCTTCCTGAATTTGAATTCGCAAGAGAAAATAGGATGGAAAGCAGAGATAGTCTGCTCATTCATTTCAGAGCTAGTCTATATGAAATAATTTGCTCTGGAACAGTGTGAAATGGTTGTTGGTGGGTGCACACTGTCCTCACCAGTGACTTTGTTTTTTGGTGCTCTGATGCTGGCAGGACTGGAATTGCTATTCACACATTCCACAGTTTTGCATCACCGGCTTATTTTGATAAGCTCCTTCAGTGTAGAGCACAGGTCTCCTTACTTAGCTCTTAGTACATAATGATCTCAGCTCAACAGTATTTGAGTAATTTGATATACCCTGCTTACATGTTCAGCTTGTGTCTCTGGATTTGGTATCTGATACATAAAACTGCCTGAAAGAGTTTTGATGTGTCTGTAGATTTGATAACTGGCCCTTGTCTCATCTCACTTACTAACATCTAAGGCAGTTTCACCTCAAGTCAATAGTATTGGCTGTGATTCTGGGATAAATGAGAAGTACATTTCCTTACAGGATATATCTTTTTTTACTACGCAATAGTGCTGGAGTTCTACATTCAATTGCTGACCACACCCTCCCCTGTGAGATATTTTTGTAGGTACACTATGCTAATGGTTTTTAAAGTAATACTTAAAAACAAATTTGTCATAGTATAGTAACAAAAAAGTCTTGCAGAGGAGGGCAGGGTTGCCCCCCCAAAAGAAAAAGTAGGATATGTGCATTATTTGTGTAAATATACGGTAATCTCTCAGAAACAGGTAACGTGACTTCATATTACCCATATCAGAATGATCACTGCTTCTCAGCTCCCTGTTCAAAGCACTTGGGCCCCTGCTAGCCGAGCATGGTGGCCAACTCACAGAAGTGAAAAACATGTTTGCTTTAATACAGAATGGTGAAAAATATATAATGAATATTTTACTTTGTCACAGTAAGGCTGTTAAAAGGACCAGTTCAACTAAGTGTAATATCTAGAAAGCCCAGTTAAATGGATTCAGCTGGCTCTACTCTTCAACCCAGCCTGTTGTCACCCACCAAATTATGCAGCAGCTGGTCCATTATAAATAATTTAAAGAGAATACACACAATTTTTGGTTGCCCCCCACACACTTCTTTGTACTCTTCTCTCACAGTCTCTGTCTCTGTCTTTCTGTCTTTCTCTCTCTCTCTCTCCTATTTCTAGGATCATCTTCATGTATTCCATTTATTACAAAAATAATTGGTATAGAAATTCGTGGATATGCTGAGGAGAAAAATGTAATAAATTCATTCTGAAAGAAGAAAGCCTTGAGAGAACCTTTTCAAATAATAGAAGGAAGTGACAGAAACTTGGAAGGGTTTCTCACATACTAGGATTTATGCCACAGAGAAAAGCATACAGAAAATAGTAATTTTGAAACAAAATTGATTTATTAGTAATAATTTGCCTGGCAAATTTTTGTAGCATCCTTGGGGTAAATGAACTAGATATTTGTAATCCTACATGGACTCAAACTACTTTCTGTGGCTGGCAACAGGACGGCTATGCCACTTATGGCCTATGCATTTAAGACAGGTGTACTGATATAATTTAATGCTTAATTTGCTATAGGATTTGTTTTTCTGTTTCCCAGAGATAACTGATCTGCTTTAAGCCCAGAGACTGATTATGTAGTTCAGCTGTGTATTACTTATATGTAATATAGTTTTTATTTTTAAATGATTTTTAAAATTTGATAAAGAATTATCATGTCTAGGTGAAGCCCCCAGATGAAAAGACCATATCTATTAGTCTTTCAATTAAGCATTTACTACCAAAGTTTTGCTGAATCTCTGAGGAATTTGAAAGCTTTAAAATGTTTGGTCTCTGTGCTGTGTTTTCATTGGTAAAGTACAGTTAGAGTGGAGGAGGGGAGGGGTAGTCTTTTGAGTAACAGGGAAATAGTGGCCTTACTTACTTTCAGGAATATTTTTGAAAGTAGAAACTCTTATAAAGTAAGAAATGTATCAAACTTCAGAAAAAAAATGCACTTACTGGTAGTTTTTTTTTTTTTTTTTTTTTCCTTTCTTCCTCCTTTCCTTCTGCCTTTCAGAGTCTTTGCCAAGAACTTGAAGCAAAGTTTTATGAAGGGATTTTTAATTGGGAAAGTGTCAAGCAGCATGATGCAGCCAGCCTTCTGAAGCTCTTCATTCGGGAGCTACCCCAGCCATTGCTCAGTGTAGAGTATCTCAAAGCCTTTCAGGCCGTCCAAAGTAAGTGCCGTCCCACTTTGGAGCCATCCTCGTACCACTGCCATCCATATTGATTGTTTTAAAGACAATCTGTATGACAAGGAATATAACCAGATACACATATTGACTCAGTGATGTCAGTGGATACTCAAATACTACATGTTGTTTTCCTTTTCCTATATAAATATACATCTCTGACTAAGTAGTTAATAGAGTGTTGTCTCTGAATACAGATTAGTTGTATGACATTTAAGCAATACAATATATTTTAGTGCTTAAACCTGAAACTCCACATTTCTTTTGTAATAGAATGAATGAGTCACATAAGATCTCTGATACATTTTTCTTGCCAAGTGTTAAAAGCAACACTTATTGGAGAAGCTGTGGATTAACAGTTACCATAAAAGCATAAAGAGATGTGGCAGTCTGTCAGCATTTCTTCAGAAATTAAATTATGAAATTGTCACGCAGAAACATGGAACAAAGCATTTTGGTGGAAGGCAACAAACTCTTATGTCTTGCCATTTTGTGATCTTAGGCAGGCTCCAGATGAATGTCTCAAATAGCTCTTGATTTCTTTTCCAGTGAAGATAGAGATAGGATGAGGTTTATGTACTGGCATGATTGTCTCTTTTACTGTTTGAGGCTATCCAAAAAAATTTTCGTAACCACTCAAAAGTGGCTGTAATTAATCTTCCAAACTAAGACACTAGTGATAGTAAAATGGGGGCAGTATTCATGATCATGGAGAGTTAATATCATGGTGCTAATTAGAACTGCTATAGACCATTCATAAAGTATATAGTATTGGGATGATTCCCATGAGTTAATGGTATCAGTACTTCTTTAAAATGTCTTAGAGAGGACTGACTGAACTTATCTTCTATCTAAAATATATTTTTTAATGGTTAAATTGTACTATTTTGCATAAATTCATTGGATATGGTTTAAAATACTGAAGTTATTCCTGAGAAACAAATACAGGAGTGATTTTGTATATCCTTGAACCAATCAACTAACTCATTGCCATCAAGTAGAGTCCAACTCATGGTGACCCCCATTGGGTTTCCAAGGCTATAAGTCTTTACAGAAGTAGATCACCCCACCTTCCTCCCAAGGAGCAGCTGGTGGGTTTGAACCGCTGACCTTCTGGTTAGCAGTCAAATGTCTTATTCCCTACGGGCATCATTTAACTGGAATAAGAGCCACTGAAAATGATGCACGCGTCAAGAATGATAATCATCTTTTGTTGTTGTTAGGTGGCATCACATCGATTTCAATCCACGGTTGTAATTCATTCCATGAACATTTATTGAGCACTGATTGTGTTTTACATACCCCTGTTAGAATTGACAGACTCAACCCTGTAGTTTGTTCATTAGCCATTTAAAATAAAGAAACTTCACTGTTACAGATGCACTCTGACATCATATCACGGAAGGCCTCATCTTCTATGTCTTTTCATTGGAAAATAATTATCACACAGAAGTTAAAATTATTTCCAAAGCACTGTTGAGTGTCTGCAAACATAAGGCTACTTGTCATATGATCATAGTTGGAAGTGAGCATTCTGAGAGAAGCAGCACTGTAACAGCAGCTGCTTTTACTGATCTCCCACAAACACACGCTCAACAAGGCTTGCTGCTCAGTCGTTGTGTCTTACATTTCACAGTCATATTTGCGCCAAATAACTTTTTTTCTTGAAAAAAAGAAAGTAAAGAGAAATGTTCAGGAAAGAGTTCATGTTTACTTAATCTGTCTGCAGACCTTCCGACCAAGAAGCAACAACTACAGGCTTTGAATCTCCTTGTCATCCTCCTACCTGATGCAAACAGGGATACACTGAAGGTCAGCTGGATTTGTTTACATTAAATCTCCCTTAGAATGAAGCAGAATTATTTTTCTTTCTTTGTGGCATCACAATATGATGTATATCTTGAAAATGTCAGCATAATAGGCTACCAAAAAGAGGTATGTTTTTAAAAAAAATGTTGAAAGAAGACTTTAAGCTCTTTATTCATTTATTTATTGGGTTAGCTATATTATTGATATTTGGAAAAGTGGCATGGGGGGGCAGTTTGACCTCCTGCTGGGTCTTCTGCCAGGTCTCCTGGTTCTGCTGCCGCCATTTCTCTGCCATGCTGCTCGCCATGGCTTTCTGTCTCCGCAAAGCGTTACGGCTCTCTGTCTCCTGGGTTGAGGAGGTTCAGCACAAAGATCTCATGTCCTAAGTGTCTGAAGGACGTGATCCACTCCTGGCTCTTCTTGCTTGATGGTAGTGAGGTCCTCCCTTTCTGCCTCTGGGAGGGCTCATCTTAAACCTAATGGGAATGGCAAAACTGACCAATTCCCTCATTAGGTTTCCATATACCTTATTTGCATGGTCCCACCCCCAACAAAGGTGCTGTGTACCTTATTTATATTATTAGCATGCTGTAGTGTAGTGCCTAAAGCACTTGACTGCTAACCAGAAAGCTGGCAGTTCAAACCCACCAGCCACTCCTCGGAAGGAAGGTTGGCCAATCTACTTCTGTAGTGATACTGCATCGGAAACCCAAGGAGGGGTCGCTATGAGTCAGGTCAGACTTGACGGCACATAACAACAACAACAACATTCAATGCTATTGGGAGGCCACAAGCTCCCCACATTTACAGAGTCCCGCTCAGTCATTTGGTGGTAGTTAATAAGACTATGGCTATAGAAGGACCATATTAAGTAATACATCGCACTTCAGTATTATTGAGATTTTTTTTTCACTCAAGATTTTACTAGAACATTTATGCCATAACTAATGATTAAGGTTCATTTATTAATGAGACCATGAGTAATTTTTGTTTTTTTCTTCATATTTCTCTGCATTTTCCAAATTCATTGATTATATATTTTAAAGTTTAGTGAGCATATATTAATAAATTTAACAATGAATGTTTTTTAAAATACTAACATTCATTATTTATAACCCACTATTGCCTTTAACTAAAATATTACAATTGTTTGCAGTAAGAGTATAGTAACAGAGTTTGAAATAAGTCATAATGGTGAGCTTGAAATGTTTGTTAGACCAATTCAAACAAATTGTGGTTATTTCTCTTAAGACTTATCCTGAGTTTCTGGTATATATTATAATTTCAAAGTGATTTGGTGTAATATTCAAACAATTTAATATCATTTACTCTGAACATCATCAGTAGCTTTCATAGTATTCAATGGATCACTCTGCATTGACTTCATTTTCCTTAAGGGCAAAAGTTTACAGAATAATGTACAGGTAAGGGCAATACCCTTGCTTCTTTAGCCCCTGCATTTCCTGCTGTTTAAATTGTCAAGAAATGAAAATAGTGATAGTTCTTTAATGTCCACGGAATGAATGTTAGTACTCAACTTTTCTGGATAAAAGCAGCCTATGAGGATGACTGGGTCAAAAGCAGTACACCTGCTACAGGAAAACTTCCAAGGAGTTATTCTCTTCACTAAGTCAGAAAAAAATATTTTGTTCCAGTGATTGTCAAATGACTAACTGACAAGGTAACGTTAGGTTATATTTTGATGTACTTTTGAGACTTATGCCAACTCCAGAAAGGGTTCCATTCGTTTTATGACCAAGGCTGTCATGTATGGATGTGTAGGTTCTGACCTAACAGGGATATTCAACCCAGGACAAAGTGGGAGCTGATTTCCAGCCTATCCTCTGTTTTCCAGCTGCACATCACCACAGGACTTCATCTACCCAGAAAGAGAAAAGAGCATCTTTTTTCTTACTCACTTGAAAATGCCAGTCCAGGTGGTGGCCCTGTGAATGAACACATATAAAGTTGAATGGAAAGACATAATTTAGTTTAAAATATACCAATACTGGTCGTTGTTAATCTGATTCTTGGCAACTCCATATGTCCTGGTAGAACTGGGCACCATAGGATTTTAAATGGGATGTAGGGTTTTGAAGTAGATTGCCAGGTCTTTCTTCTAAGGCACTTCTATGTGGATAGAAGCCCTCAACCTTTCAGTTAACAGTGTAGCATGTCAACTCTTTTTGTGCCATGAACTCCTTTTAAAATTTACCTAAATTCAAATGACTTCACATAGTTATAGGAGGAAACACTTGATCTAATATGGTTCCTATTGGGCGAGGCTGGCCTAGAGCTCTTCTTTGGGCATTTCTTCAAAGTCTCAGGTATATTGTTTTAAGCATAGACTGTTTATAAACCAGTTTTAAATGTTTTAGCATCATTTTGGCTTTTGTATATAGGAGCAAAATATTATAACTAAGGCGGAAAATTGGTTTATTTTTTGTCAAAAACTGGCAGATGCAAAAAAAATTTTTACTTAAGCTTTAGTGTCTTAATGAACTAGCTCTGATGAACGTTTTAAATAAGAATGTTAATAATAGAATCATGGAAATAAATATGGCCTCTGTGCAAGAGAATAAACCATAAATGTAGTTCTATGAGAGAGAAGAGACTCTATTGCAAAGTAATGTCAGGAAGCCTACCTTGAAGTCTTCCAACTTACCAAGTACCAGAACCACTCATTCAGTTGTCATTTGGAGGAAAAGGATCACGAGTTGCGTTGAAGAGTTCTGCAACACACCTACAGGTGAGAAGGCACCGTGTTCAATACTAGTCCTGGCATCTGCGCAAAGTTATAGGTATCTGTGGATAAACTACTTAACCAAAATTCTTTTACCTTTGAATGTTGTCCATTTGGACCAATTATACCTGCCTTTGGCATGGAGGATTTTAAGATGTCAACAAACCATGCAGGGTAACATTTGTCTTCCCGTTTTGCAGTATTAGGAAGCACGTTACATGCATTGACTTAATCCTCACAGGCTATGTAATCAGTTTTCCCATTTTCCAAATAAGAAAAATGTAAAGATCAGAGAGAGAAAAAGTTTCCCCAAGATCACCCTAGTAAGTAACTGTGTAAGTAACTGTAAATAACCAGTAAGTAAGTAACTAGTAAGTAACTGTGCTGGGACTCAAACTCAAGTTTTCAGAGAGCGCATCGGTGATATTTTGACAACACAGTGTTAAAGTAAATACTTCCCAAAAAAGGCAGTTCTTGTACTTCCAGTGAAGAGAAAATGCTGCAGTTCTTCCAGCAAGGGCTGGGCTTGCATCTTATTATTTATTGCATATCTATATATACTCACACATGGACTCTAGGATTCTTATGGTAATATTTTGAATAAATGTATTGCATACGTACACCACAATTAAAATGGTTTATTACCTAATCACTGTAATTTATGCCCAGGAAGAAAGAGATATGCTGGTCCCCAAATAATTATTCTGGTCTCTATGGAACAAAATTAAATATTTCTTCCAAATCTTACCAATTAATCTTTTGTCCTCATTTGAGAAAATGTGTTGTTTTTATATAACCTTATGCTCGTATTACAATTTAACTTTGTCAGCGCTGCACCAGAAATTAGATACATAAATCTCTTTGTTAGATATTAAGGCTATGCCTTTAGTTTGTTTGAGAATTTTGAGGTCTATATAGCAGCTAAACTTGTTCAAGATCAAGCTGTTAGCACTTAGAACGATTTTTTTTCCCCCTAATATCTTGTGTGTTCTATGCCCTCCTATTTTTTCTTTCCATGTGTTTCTTTTTCATTTGGTTACAGTTTATTTGGCCTTTTCAAGGTAGGAGTTTTGGGCAAAATACAAAACCAAACCAAACCAATTTTTATTAGTTAAGGGTTCAGAAACAAAAACTAAGTAGAGCTTTTCCACCATTTCCTAACAAAGTGACCATTGGTCGTCCACTTAAATTCTCTAAGACATTGCTTTCTCATCATTTAAATGGGGATAATTCTGGCATCTGATCTATTTCATCTGGATGGAGTAGAGATTAAATGAGATGATCTCTAGTATGCTCAAGGCAGAGGCTCACCCACAGAGAATGTCACATACTGGTGCAGTTGTTGTTATTATTGCTCGCCCCAAATTAATTAAGCAAAGGATGAAGATGAAGCCTATAGCTCTGTTAGGAAGAGGGTGATCTCAGCCATCTAGGGCATCATGGAAGGTACCCTCAGAGGACACACAGGTGCTCACAGTGGAGTTGGGGACTGGGTAGCACCAAGCTCAGCATAAATTGCCCTTTTCTGATGAGAAGTTCTTCTCATTCATTCATTCAGTTTTAAAAATGCTCTTCTTATGGGTCTCACCTCACCTCACTTCCTCCCCATCTTAATCTCCTTAAAGCAAATGAAGTTGAGGTTGAATGAGCCTTCTTAAGAGACAATCTCTCTCTCTTTCTCTCTCTCTCTCATGCCTAGGGGTCAAAGTGCAACTATTCCTGAAACGAGCGAATATTTTTATGATATTTTTAAATGCTTTTCTGTGCTCCATCAGGCTACTGGGATGCTAATTTTCCATTCTTCTCTCTTCCAATTAGTTTATATTCTCACCTTGTCTGCCTCATTCCCCAGTGCCGTGGTCCTTGGTAGAAACAAAACACCATCCCAGGAAGTAGTATCAAACTGACAGAGAAGCTTTGGTGGCCAGGACTGTTGGATGCAGCTAGCTGACTATGATTATACACAACTTTCTTTTTAAATTAAATAAAAATTCAGTAAACTACAGTGCTTTAATCTCGTCTCTTCATGTACAACACAAATCTCAAAGAGTCATTTCTGTTTCAGGCTCTGCTTGACTTTCTGCAAAGAGTAATAGACAATAAGGAGAAAAATAAAATGACAGTCATGAATATAGCAATGGTCATGGCCCCCAATCTCTTTATGTGTCATCCGTTTGGTGTGAAGTCCAGTGAACAACGAGAATTCGTAATGGCAGCTGGAACAGCTAACGTCATGCACTTGTTGATTAAATATCAAAAACTTCTGTGGACAGTAAGTAGTTATTTTTAAGTTCTGTTAATGACCCTATCACTTCCTAGTATAATTGATTATAGAAATTTGAGACTTAATTTTATAAAACTGTTATACACATGCAATGTGCTTTTTTTCCATAATGGTTTTTAAAAGCACATTACATATTTTGTTACCAGCTTTATAAGATTATGTTTAAAACTTTTGAATGCAGAAAATATTACAGGCATTTTATTCACATATATAAGGCAGCTCTGTGAATTGCTATTTTAAAATCATGAAATTATATTAAACAAGACTTATAAAAATTACTTCCTACTTACTTGTTTCTGTCCATTTTCCTTTCTCCTAATATTTAGACCTGTAGTCTTTTAAAAAGTACATACCATCTTGGAATCAGATTGTTCACAGTTATTTTTCATGGAATCTTTTTTTTAAAAGGGGTATGTATATTTTGCATCCTAATTGCTGGGAATGTCTTGAAAATGGTTTCCTTGTTTTAGCCTCCTATTGAGCTCGAGTTTTGACAGATAATCAGGGCTCTGCTTCTCAACAGCACAAGAACAAGATGGTGGATGAGAACTTCGTTGATTAAGCTCTCATTATCCAGTGAAATTTGTAATTTTTGAGAGATGCATTTTATAAGCATTTAGAAAAAATGAACTAAAGAACTTCCAAGTAAAACATACTATTGGATATCTCAGTCTCTTATTTGAGGAACCCCCAAGTCATTTGTTGTAAAGACAGAGGGATGATAATCTAAATTCTGAAGTCTCATATTTATTTTCACATTCCCTATAAAAAGCAACTGACACAAATGATTTCAAATGTTTGTTTTTTTTTTTTTTAATTAGTAGGCATTTATTAAATCTCAATTTTTAAAATGCCAACATTATTTCATGGCTACATTATGTTGTTGTTGTTATGTGGTTATAATATAGGAGCTTTAAAATACTTTATTTTTGCTAATATAGTTTATGAGAATTGTTCCTGGTTTATTGCTATTTACTTGCCAACTTTTCTTTATTGGTGAAATTTTTGTCTCTCTTGACAGTAGAGGGTAGCTGGTAACTAGAAGGGGACTGTAAGCTAGACAGAAGGACTGTGTAGATAAATGGCTGCTAAAGGATGAAGGTGTGATGGTCTCTACTACCACTCACCACAGGTAGTCTCTATTTCTTGGCTTACATGACATGAAAGAATTGTCCCTATGTCCTTGAACAACAAGACCAAGGCAAGGGAAGATGCTGGGAGGCACACAAGAGTAAAAGACAACAGAAATAAATACTATTACACGTGCAATCCTGCAATAATAGTAATAACAAGCAATACGTAAGAGTAGATATGTAGGTAGATATGCAAGCCAAACATATGTGGGAAGGTGAATGGGAGTATGCCCACGAGTATATGTAGGTTTGGCAGAGGATATATCTATACATATATTTGTATGTGCTGTATATATACCAAAGATATGATAGAGCATATAGGATACACACTTGTGAAAACTTCTTATCATAACTAAACTCCTTGAGGGAATAGTCACTGGGCTTGGGGGCTTAGTACCACAGTCTCAGGGGACATCTAGGTCAATTGACACAAAGACAGTGTTCTACATTCTATTGTGGTGAGTAGCCACTGGGGTCTTAAAAGCTTGTCAGTGGCCACCTATGGTACAACTGTTGGTCTCTTATGGTCTGGAGCAAAGAAGAAAGAATTAAAGACTCAAGGAAACAGTCCAAGGGACTAATGGACCAGGTGAACCCTAGCTTCCACCACCCTAAGACCAGAATAACTAGATGGTGCCTGGCTACAGTTACCTACCCCTCTGGTCAGGATCACAACAGAAGGTCCTGGACAGAGAGGGAGGAAATAAAAGTCAAAATCATGAAAAAGACTGTACTCCCAAGACTGTGACCCTTAGTCACTCTTCAAGCCTGGAATTGACCCCACCCCCAAGAATCAACTTTGAGTCCAACAGTAGACAGGCCTATAAAGTGAACAAAAACATCAGGGAGGAATGTACTTCTCAGTACAAGCGACCATATGAGACCAAAAGGGCAGCATTTACACAAAACAAAGCCCAGAAGGCAGGGAGGCATAGGAAAGAAGAATGAGTGGAAACAGGGAACCCAGGGAGGAAAAATGAGAAGAGTGCAGTTACATGGAAGGGATTGCAACCAACTGCACAAAACAAATGCGTATAAACTGTTGAATGGGAAACTAATTTGTTCTGTAAACTTTCACCCAAACTACAATAAAAAGCTCAGAAAAGAAAAAGGCTTCTTTTAGAACCTTACCCGATGCATGGTAAATGGCATCGTGTGGATACCTGTCCACGTGATCAGTGAATACTGATATGTTCTCTCTTCTCAGTTTAATAAATAAACTGAAAAACCAAATCCACTGCTGATGAGTCAATCCCAACTCATAGCGACCCTAGTCTTCCTTCTGAAGAGTGGCTGGTGGGTTTGAACTTCCAGCCTTCTGGTTAGCAGTCACATGCCTTGTAAAATGACAGTCTTATCAAATAGACAAAATCTTTACTCCTCTTGAAAGTTAAGAAAGATGATGATTTCTGTAACATAAGGTGGTGCCTTTCCTTTTTCTTCCCTAAACTTAATTTAATTTAATTTCTTCTTAGATTCCCAAGTTTATTGTAAACCAAGTGAGGAAGCAAAACACGGAGAATCATAAAAAAGATAAAAAAGCCATGAAGAAATTGCTAAAGAAAATGGCTTATGACCGGGAAAAATACGAAAAGCAAGATAAGAATCCAAATGATGTAAGAAAAACTTGATGATATGTATTTAATATAGATTTCTGTATTGTTTATATACCCTCTTTCCTCTCAAAAACAATTGTATGTGTTCCCAGTATGCCTTTCTGAATGGTTACTGGGCTCTGGTACCACTCAAAGTTAAAGGCAGCAGCAGCACTAACTATGCTTCTACTCCTACTGATGTTGAGTACTGACAGTGCTCAGGGATTGGTGACTCGGGATGTCAGTTAGTGGGAAACAAAGGAAGGCAGTAAGACAAGAATGCCTGAAAATACCCCCATGGACACATACAGAAGACTCTAGTGGTCCACTGAGTGTGTTATGTAGGTTTGGAAAGAAAGGCCTGGGAAACCACTATTTTTTTTTCTTCAATTTTCTCATCTGTAACATGGGGGGCAGTAGAGGGTGGTGGGGGGCCGATAACTAAATAACCCAAATAGGCCAATAAGCTAATGCTTGTGTTACTCCTAGGATTAATTCCTGGATTTCAATAAATACTTAAAAGTTCTTAATTTAGTTCGAAGAAGAAATTGGAAAAATTTATCTTGGAAAAGAAGGAAATTAAAATGTTTCTATAAATAAATAACTAAATAGCAGGATTTACAAACTAGTCTAAGAATATACTAAGAAAAACAGGGAACATGCATGGAACATATGAAGTGAGTTGTCACCAAAACTCTTCCTTAAGATGCTGAAGTGAAAGTGTTTCTATTGTTCTATTTACTGAGAATATATCACAGCCACCACCAGCACCACCTGTGAGGTTGTTCAGTTAAGTGCTGACATCTTGTGGAAAATTGTGGAAATACAATTATTGGCCTTTGAGTTTTTCTCTGACCATCCTCTTAACAGCAAAAAAACCCATACTCACTGCCATCAAGTCCATTCTGACTCATAGCGACCCTTTGGGTTTCCCAGGCATTAAATCTTTGCTGAAGTAGATTACCCCATTTTCCTTTCACGGACTGTCTGGTAGGTTTGAACCGTCAACCTTCTGGTTAGCAGTCAAATGCCTTAGGCACTGTGCCACCTGGCCTGCTTAGGGATCCAATAATTATAAAAATAAATATTTTCCCTAAACTTAGGTGAAAATAGCTCTCACTTTTACAAAAGAAAATATTCTTGCCTTTGTAAATTTTTAAATAGTCAATTTTCAAGCATCTTTAAAAACATGTCAAGCAAAAAGGCCAAACTCACTGCCCTACAGTCACTTATGACTCATATCGACCCCCATTGGGTTTCCAAAGTGGTAAATCTTTTTGGAAGTTGATTGCCCCATCTTCCATCTTCTTTGGAGCAGCTGGTGGGTTTGAACTGCCAGCCTTCTAGTTAGCAGTATAATACCTTAGGCACTGGGCCACCAGACCTCCTGACTTAAAAATGTGTACTATATAGGAGCTCTGGTAGCATAGTATAAGGCACTTGACTGCTAACCAGAAGGCTGGTAGTTCAAACGGACTCAACGGCACATAACAACAACAACATTAATATGTAGTAAAATAAGGAGCTGTGGGGGCATAGTGCCTAAGGCATTTGACTGCTAACCAGAGGTTGGTGATTCAAACCCACCAGGCGATCCTTGGAAGGATGATGGGGTGGTCTACTTCCATAAAGATTTACCACCTCTGAAACCTAGTGTGGGTCACTATGAGTTGGAATCGACTCAGTGGCAGTGAGTTATAGTTTTGTTTTTTATATACGAAATGAAAATTGTAAATCCTGTATATACATTTTTTGAAAAAATGCTTGATATAATCATAAGTTTAGAAAGGATTTTTGAGATACCATAATTTATTTAACTTTAGAATTCTCTGTTGCTGCTAAAACCATTGTAAATATGTAAATTTCTTGTTTTATAGCCCTGCTTCTTTATTTTAGGAGCTCTGGTGGCTGAGTGGCTAAAGCATTCAGCTGCTAACCAAGAGGTTGGCTGTTTGAACTTATCAGCTACTCTGCAGGAAAAGGATGAGGCAGTCTGCTTTGGTAAAGATGACAGCCTTGGAAACCCTGTGGGGCAGTTCTACTCTGCCCTGTAGGGTTGCTAGGTGTCAGAATTGACTGATGGCACCAGGCTTGTTTTTTTTGTTTTTTATTCATCTTAACTTTAGGTGACTTTATAGCCTCATCTTTTTATAAGGTACTTAAAATGGGATACTCTTAGGCACAGTGTCTACTTAAGGAAACAGAATTCATACTATACATTTTTAATAGTAATTTCTTAGATTAAAAATTATTAAGGTTATTTTTTTGGAGATAGAATATAAAATAATTTTGTTATTACAGAAAAACAGCATTATAATGCTGTTTATTATTATAGCAGTATAATTTATTTTATGCTTTGGGTTACTTGTACATAAGTTGATATGAGAATTGTCTCTGTACTATTTAAAAGCTATAGTAGCATTTTAAGAGTTTAGGATTTGAATCTGGATCTCAATCTTGGCTTTATCATTTATTAGCTGTCATTTCGTCTCTCTGAATTGTGGTTTTCTTGTTGGTGAGATTCAGTTATTCGTTTAACAAAATGCTACTAAAAGCCTCCTGGGTGCCTAGCACACACCCTATGTTGGGTATGCAAGAAGGAGATGAAGCAGGAAACCCATCCCCCAGGAAGAGGAAAGAGGTTTAACTCACAGATGCTGGAAGTGATGTGACGGAAGACTGGTCAGGGTCCCCTGGGACACAAAAGAGGGAGTAGTGATAACTTATGGATACCAGAGAGGCTTCATGGAGCTGAGCTGTGAAAAAACAAGTAGATGCTATTCAGACAGTGAGGAAGAGAAGACCTAGCCAGCAGGCAAAGCTTTGTGGCAGAGTGGCAGCCTCCAGGTGGTCATGGTTCACAGTAGAGGTTTGTGTGACCTCTCATTTTGCTTTACAATGTTTGATCCATGAACAGAAGTTTAAATTGAAAAGATTCAACCTAAGAGTCTACATTTCCAACTTGACAAATTGGATGGTTTGGGGTGGGGTAGGTAGAAGTGTTGTTGCTCTGTTACAGGGTAGAGATTGACTGGGTCTGCGTAGCCACTGTTCCCTTTGGGTGCACATGGACCATCTATTTTGCTATATGCTCCCCCCCACAATCTTTCATCTTACTTTGTTGATTTACATATCTGACTTTTCTCCCAAATAATTTTAATATGCAACCCTTCCATGAAGGCGTATAGCTGCCTGGGATGTTTTATTCATTTATTCAGCAACTATTTGATGTATTCCTACTGTGTCTCAGGCACTGTTCTGGGCACTTGAGATCCATTATTGAACAAAACAAAAATCATTGTGCTTGTTGAGCTTAAATCCTATACATGAAAATAAAATATGTAGTACGTTAGAATGTGGTGATTGCTCTAGAAATAGTAGAGCAGGAAAAGGGAACTTGGAAGGAGGGGCCTCTTGCGATATTAAATTGTGTAGGAGGTCAGGGAGCTGAGTTGTGTAGAAATCTGAGGAACCACATTCCCAGCAGAGGGAATAGTCTATGCAAATGCCTTAAGGCAGAACTTGCTTGGGGTGTTTGAGGACTAGCAAGGAGTGAATATGGCTGGAGTTGAGAGGTCAAGGAGAACAGTAGTATGAAATGAGGTCAGAAGGTTGATGGGGCCAGATCACAGAGTGCCTTGTAGACCATGATTAGGAATTTGTATTTAGCCTGAGTGATAGGGGGTCATTGCAAGGTTTGAACAAAGATATGACAATCTATCTATACTTTGTTTTAAAGTGATCCCTCAGGCTGTAGGGTTGAAATGGACTGTAGCTGAGCAAGGTTATAAATGACACCATTTCGGAGGTTCTTGTAGTAATCTAAGTTAAGGGATGATGGTGACTCAGAGCAGGGTATTGGCAGGTGAAAACCACCTACTGCCATCCAGTCGAGTCGATTCTACCTCATAGCTACCGTTTAAAGCTGAGTGGAACTGTCCCATATGGTTTCCAAGGCTGTAAATCTTTATAGAAGCAGATTGCCTTATCTTTCTTCCACCGAGAGGCTGGTGGGTTCAAATTTCCAGCCTTTTGATTAACAGCCAAATTCTTTAACCATTACACCACCAGAACAGAAGTGGGTTGAATTCTGGGTGTTTTTTAAGTTAGAGCCATCAAAATTTTTCGATTAAAATGATGTGAACTGTGAGAGAGAGAGAGAAGTCAAGAATGACTCAAAGATTTTTGGCTTTAGAAATTGGAAGTATAAAATCGACACAAAGATGTAAAAACATCACAGTTTCAATTTGGGGCCTGTTGAATGAGAGAAGTCTACTGGACATCTAAGTGGTGCTGTTTGAAGGTGTTTGGAAGGAAAATTAGTTCATACTGACTGGCCAGTGTATGGAAGGACAGGGGCAGAGGGAGGGCAGCAATGGGAACTCAAGGAGGAGTGAAGCTTCCATTCTGTAGATGACAGGGAACTGCTGAATGATTCTGACCCCAGGAGTTAAAAAGTTAAAATTGCGTTTTACAGCAGGCTTTGTGATGACAGGGTGAAGGAAAGATTGAAAGAGTATAAGATAAAAATTTCAGTATAAGACTTTGGCTAATTCCATATATTGTTGATGGGAGTATAAATTGGTACTACCCCTCTGAAGAGTGGTTGTCATGTGGCAGAGGCCTTTAGGTCTTACTTCTCACTGGACTCAGAAATTCCTTCAAAGGGAGCATGCAAATATTTATGCTTAAGTTCATTGCTATTTTGTTTGTACTGGCCTAAGTCGAAAAGAACAGATACAGCTAATTATGTTATGGCATATCTATGTAATGAAATACTATGAAAATGTACGGCTGACAGTTCAAACCCACCAGCCACTCCTCGGAAGGAAGGTTGGGCAATCCTACTTCCGTAGTGATACTGCCTCGGAAACCCAAGGAGGGGTTGCTATGAGTCGGGGCTGACTCGACGGCACATAACAACAACAACAACAACAACAATGAAAATGTACAAGTGTACATATTGATATTGAAACATATCCATGTGTTACTATATGAAAATAAAAAGAAATCAGTGAACA